GGCGGAGCCGTGGAGTCGGCCCCGCCCCGCCCGGTCCCCGCTCTGTCTTCCCTGCAGGATCTACTGGGGCTGCTTCTACTTTTTCCCCTGGCTGCGCATGTGGCGGAGGGAGCGGAGGTGAGGGGCGCTGCGAGGCCGCGGACGGGCCGGCAGCCTGGAGGAGGCTCGGGGTTGGAGGACCGATGGCCGGGAGGGAGGGGGGCAGCCCGCGAGGAGAGGCTCTCGCCCCCCCGCCTTATGCCGTCGTTGTCCGGTTGCCCCACAGCTCGGCGCACCCCCGGGAGCAGAAGCTGGAGCCTCTGCGGGGCCTGATGAGCTGTCTGTCGAGCGGCCTGGGCCCGGTTCCCCAGCCCTCGGGCCGCGGCCTCCCCCGCCGCACCCCCTCAGCTGCTGCCCAGACTGCGCAGGCATTAAAGATTTAAACTGACGCTCCCCACCCCGGACTGCCCTCCCGCCTCCATTTGAGCCGAGCCCCCGTCTACACTGACTCCATGTCCTGAGAGTCTCCTCCCTCCCTAGTAGGGTGCCCATGTGAGTCAAAGCCTACTGCCATCGAGTCAATCTGACTCAAAGCAACGAAGCAGAACGGCCCCGTGTGTTTCTGATGCTGGGAATAGTTACAGAAGCCTCCTCTTTTTCCCGCGGAATTACCGGTGGGGTGGGGACTACTGGCTTTTCTGTTATCAGCCCCACGTGGAACCCACTACAGGGCCCCTCATCAGTGCCTGTTACTGCCAGTGGCCGCCCTCTCCCCACCACCAGTACCCCTACTCCCCAGCACTGTGAGTAAACGTTATGGAGTGAACTAGCATTGGCCTGGCCTGGTGTTCTTTCAGACCTTAACCCCACACCGATGCGTTCCCCCTTCTCTAACCTGGCTCCCACCTCTCTCCCGGCAGGATTTGCCATGAGGCTGAAGAATCTTTTCTTTCTAATCGAGGATGCCAGGACATTTATTTGAAGCTGGCAGTTGGAGGAAGTAGCTGACAGTGAGAGAGGAGGATTCCTAGACATGGTCTCTCTCAATCTGCCATAATACGGAATGGGGACTATGTGGGGGTAGAAGGCATTCCTACTGTTAATACCCCAACTTCTGGCTTCTCAGCCAGACCTTGGGTTGAGAGATACTTGGCATCAGCCCCCTTAGAAGTTCTTGCTATTTCCTGGGAGATTCTAAAGACCACTCCCACTAGCACTCCTTCTGTCTTGTGTCCACCCCCCCAAAAAAAAAATACCAAAAATCAGCTTGAGATCCACTGGGGCTGCTAGGTGGCCCTGCTTAGGTAGTTAAGAATGAATGATCCTGGGGCCAGAAAGAACACCAGCAAACTACATTACAGAGAGAGCTTGGATTCCGACTAAGGAGAAAGCTGACTACAACCTGGGGAGGCCACTGGCAGGTTATGTGGGGAGACCTCCAGAGGAGACTGGATAGCCTGATCTTTCCAGAAACCAAAGTGGGAGATAGGTACAGACCGGGAAGAAATTGCTTCCTGGCTTCCCAGGTCTCTGGACTGATGTGTGTGGCATGCAGCTTAGCAGGTGGAGATCTGTGCTGAGATACGGTATTTCAGCAGTTTCCTCCATGTTTGTACCCCAGCTTTGGGGCACAAGCCCAGCCTGGTGAGGGTTAGAACCTAAGACCTCTGGTACCAGTAGCTCAAAATGAGCAACCAATGGGTTGTGGCTACTTTTTGAGAAAACACCTGAGCTCTTGAGCCATTGCCTTACAATGTGGAGTTCTTTGTCCAACCCTAGGCCCACACCTCAAAGGTCACTATCAGAAAATCTAAGCTTCACCCTGGGCAGGAAGGAAGAGAGGCTGGGGCTGTTTGTTGAGCCTGAAGGGGAATGGGCTCCACTCTTAGGGCTGAAGTCCCTCCTGATGAGTAAAGCAGCAGGGAAGCAAAAAGGATGCCTAGGGAAGTTGGGGATCCCCTTCCCAAGGCCAGGCCTGCCCCCTAGAGGGTGGCTGGCCACAGAACAGACGGCTGCAGAAGGCATTCCTCATCACCCAGATAAGGACTGGATGATGACTGCTTCTGTTTCCAATAGAGCAGACCCCGGGGGATTGAAATCCCCAGACCCAGAGTGGGGAATTCAAGGTGCCAGTGGTACTAATTATAGCAGCACACCCGTGTACCCCACCCCATCTTAGCTAGTTCCCAGCTTCCTGGAAAGGACAGGATGAGGGGGTATAGGGGTTTTGTATTGGGCAGTGTTATGGATCGGAATTGTGTCCCAAAAAAACATATGTTTTGTCAGTCCTAACTGATACCTATGGTTAATGAGCCCTGGTGGTGCAGGGGGTTAAGCCTGGAGCAGTAAACCCAAAGGTGTGCATTTCAAACTCACCAGCCACTCCCATTAGACTGCTATGAGTTGAAATCAACTTGATCACAGTGGGTTTGGCTGGGTTTCTGTAGCCCTAATCAACACTGGAATGGGTTTCCTGTGTGACATTAATGAATTTATCTTATTATAAGGTGTGCGTTCCTGAAATGAATCCCTTTTAAGATCAAAAAGCAAGGGGGCACAGTTCACCGACTTCTCTGGCAATAATAGAAGCTGGAATTTGAAGGCTTAGGACCAGAGTCCGAGGAGAACTGCATCAATCCAAGAGGTCACCTTTCAGCCAAACAACAGACTGGATTATAAAACAAACTATCACTGTAAGTGATGTGTCCCTTAAACAGTTAACTAGATGAGACCGAAACCTCAACATAAACCCAAAAGCAAAGAGGGAAAGGCAGAGGGTCTGGGGTGGAGTGGGGGGGACGAGCTGGATCTGTGGAATGGAAATCATGAGAATGATGGCACATGGTGCACACTAACCAGTGTCACAAAGCAATGTGTATAATTCATTCTGTAAATTTTCACCTAAAAAAACGGGATTGTTTCCAGAAAAGAATGAAATGACGTGGGGAATGATATCTGGCCTCCTCTAGCTTGACAAGGGAGAAGGAAAGTCAGACTCACCTCACCGTCAGCATCTCAGCAACACCAGAGATAGGGTTCCTCTCGGGCAGAGGTGCTCCCCACTCCCAATTCCAATATCAGCTATCCTCCCCAAAGTGCACTGAGTTCCACCATTCATTGCAATGGCCATTCCAAACTCATGGGCATTACTCACCATTGTGGGATAGCCTCTTCTCAGTCATGCCCACAGGCTGGTCTCTCTGCTCTTTCACTTTTCAATCCAAACTGCTCTTCTCTCGCAGTGTTGCATAGCTCTTTGAGGGCTGCCAATAAATGCCCACAAGGTGTGCCCGTGCCACCTTAAGCACCAGCACAAAGGCTCTCAGTTCTAGCTCTTAGGGTTAACAAAGAGCTAGCCCCCTCAAAGGAGCTTCCTGCTGAAGGCACTGGGCTTTATTGTTTGGTGGGCTGGGAAGTCCCCTACTCTGCCCCATGCTCTGCAGCTACCACTTCTCTGCCCCTTCTTTGGTATCAAAGCTGTCTCTGGGATCAAGGATGTTCAACGTGTAGTGATCTAGGGTCCAGAGAATGCACATATCTCTTGGCTCATATCTCTTACTGGTAGTGAGATCCCCATTCCCTTCCTGCATCTGAAACGACTCATTTTATATCCAACAAGATGCCAATCAGCAACTGCCCCTGTTTATAATCACTCACAACCAAATTCTATCAGTGTCTTCCCTCACCCATCAAGAAAACGTCACTCTGTGGGGGTAACAAGGACTATGGTTAGAAGACCCATACTAGATAATTCACTGTCCTGCAATATTTGAAAGGGGGTAGTGAAACTAGCTTTGTTGGCCAGTGGCCATCCAAGACACAGCATCTCTATTCACCTGGAGCAATAGAGATAGGAGAGTCAAAAACAGGAGGAGGATATGAAATGTGTGACTACGAGTGTCCATGAAGATTGCTTTCTTTGCCATGAGACCAGAAGAGCTAGGTGGTACCCAGATATCATTACTGAACATTTTGACCAAGAGTCCATAAAAGAATCCTGATGCAAAGGGAGAGAAATACAGGCTAGAATTTCAAATTCTCATGGACTCTAGATTTTCTGGAGCTATGAAAGTTGGATGAACTCCTAAAACGATTGCCCTGAAATAATCTTTAAACTTTAAGCCAGAAATATTCCCTGACATCGTCTTAAAACCAAACAATAGTTTAGCTTAACTATTTTAAAATGCCTCAAAAAAAAACTTTTTTAATGCTTGCCTCGAGCATGATGGTCTTTTAAGAATGATCTAGATGAGATCAAAGTGACAATAGCAACTCAAATGATTTTTAAGGAGCAATGACTATGCCAGTGGAGGAGGAATAACTCAGAATGAGGGGGAGAATGGCCGCACAACGAATAATTGATGTCACTAGACGGTACGTGTAGAAATTCTTGAACTGGCCTGTCTTGCTATCTGTATTCTCAATATTTTATATTGACATAAAATAGCAGATTAAACAAGAAAACAAGCAGTGAAATAGGATAGAAGCTGAAGAGAGAGGGATCTTCGCCTTGCTCTAAAGTCAATTCAGGGTTGTATCCTCTCACCATACTTACTCAATCTGTATGCTGGGTAAATAGAGAAACTGAACTATATAAGAAGCATGTGGTATCAGGATTTGAGAAAGGCTTATTACTAACAACCTGCAAGGTGCAGATGACGCGACCTGGCTGGTTTAATGTGAGGAGGGCTTGAAGTTCTTGCAGATCAAGGACTGCAACCTGGGATTTGGACTTATGACTCCGTGTAGAGATAACCCAAATCCTCCTGACTGGACCAATGAGTAACATCACAAAAAACAGATCAAGGACGGGTGTTGTCAAGGATTTTATCTTGTTTGGATCCGCAATGAACGCATATGGAGAAAAAGCAGTCAAGTGACCAAATGATTCATTGCATTGGGTAAATCTGTGGCACAAGATCTCTTTAGCGTACTGAAGAGCTGGGGACCCGGCCCCAATCCCGACTATGTAGACACCCCCACTCCCCTCCCAGAAGAATGCACTTCAGAGGACAGCACTGAAGCTACAGCTCAGGGAAAGGGGTGAGTATGATCAGAGCGCACAGGAGCAAACAAAGGGAAGGAGAGAGAGTGGAACACCTCCTGGTCCACCAAGCCCCGAGGACGATATTCCTGCTCAGACAGCCAACGCACAGAGACGACCATAGGACCAGCCCCACCACGAGACAAGATGTCCCTCGCTGACCCATATTGCTACGAGGGTCAACACTGGAGTCACAGTGCAGGAATTGTGCCCGATTTGACCCCACCACACTGGGGCGAAATGGTAAGGGCATGGAACATAGTAGCAAGGGGAGCAAAGCAAAGAAATCCCCAGGGATACCAAAAGTAGACAGGGGCCAGGGTGTGGCACCCCCATCAGACTCAACCAGAAAACACGCCTAAAGGTCAACAGGGGAACCGATTACAAGGATCTACATCTAACCTCCTCCCTGGGGGATGGACAACAGAAAAGTGAGTGAAGGGAGACATCAGGCAGTATAAGGCATGACAATATAATAGTAATTTATAAATTATCAAGGGTCCATGATAATTATCAAGTGGGGAGTGGGGAAGGAGGGGAAAAATGAGGAGCTGATGCCAAGGGCTTAAGTGGAGAACAAATGTTTTGAGAATGATGAGGGCAACGAACGTACAAATGTGCTTGACATAATGGATGGATGTATGGATTGTGATAAGAGTAGTATGAGCCCCCGATAAAATCATTTTTTTAAGCGAGTACTGAAGAGCAAGGATGTCACTGAGGACGTCGGGCCAGCGTTCGTTCTGTTGGACCCGGGTCACTGTGAGTTGGAACGGACTCAACAAGAGTTAGAGCCAATGCTCTGAATTGGGACCTTCTAGCTTCCTAAAGTGTGAGACAATCAGGGTCTGCTTGTTAAAGCCACCCACTGCTGGTCTCTCTGTTCTCATAGCAGTAGGGAGCTAAGACAAGCCGGAAGAGGGGGCTGAGAGCTGAGCTGAGCATGAAGATATTGGACCTGGGAGAGGCTGGGCCCGTCCTCCAAGGCCCACAGTAGAAAGGCTGGAAGTAGAACAAAACGAAGTTCATTGAGCTCTTGAGTCTGATGTTTCAATCGGGGATGGAGCCCGGTTCTCCAGGAGGCAGACAAGGCCTGTTTTAGGCGATGAAAACCCCCCTCCGGTTGGCAAGAGAGTGGCATTCCTGAGGCAGGACTGGGCAAAACTGGAAGGTAAGATCTCTTGGACCTTTACCTGTTTTGACATCAGCAACCTGGCACGCGAGTTTTTCGCTTCGCTTATCTGCCCTTTTATCCACCGCACCCTTCACTCTTATCTCTCTAGAGAAAGCAGGCCCCAACTCACCCTCCCCAAGGTACCCCCCACCTCACCAAAGGGACCTTTATCCAGTTCTACTCCGACTGTGCCTGGGCCCACCCAAGACACCTCCTCAGCCAGAAAGTCCTGCCCTAAGCACCCATTCCCATCCATTTCTCCTCATAAGGCCAGCAGACAAGGAGAGGAAGCAGGAGGGGGAGTTAGCAGTGTGTGAAAGCACTTAAAGGCAAGTTAGTGCTGGTCTGCCCCTCGGCTCCCACCCATTCTCAACCTCCTCCGTTGGAATCTTCGTGCCCTGGGATGATTGTGAGTGTGATGGATGACGTCAAAAACACAACTGTGTGAGCGTCCATGTAACTGGGTGTGGACAGCTCTGCCTGTGGGTGTCTGCCCACCAGTATGGCTTTGTGAGCTGAGTAAGCGACCAGGGTCTGACTATGAACGTGTGGCGAGGGGTTGAGGAGTGTGAATGTCTGCCACCGGGGATCTTGGGCTACCCTTACGCACTCACTGTACCACCAATTCCTAATTCATGAACCAGCCCTCTCCTTGGCTTGTCTGGCCAGCACTTTAGGAGCCCACAGGAAAGGGAAGTCCCAGAGAGATGAGATCTGTGGCCCTAGGCCAACAATTAGGGCCCAGAAGTGAGCACAGGATCAACAGGGACATCCCCACCTGCCTCTGACTCACCTAGAGCCACACATAAAAGGGAGGGGGGGAAAGAAGAATGAGGAAGAACTTTCCAGACGAAACAGCATGAAAGGGACCATACCCACTGGTGGCCTGCTGCTGCTACTGTTGCTGCTCAGCCCAGACCCCAGAGCAAGTGAGTGCTTGGGGATCTGGGGGTTTGCATGAGTGGGATTGATGAAGGGGGTCTGGATGTCCAGCCTCCATAGCTCTGCAGGGAGTGCTCTCTGAGTCAGGACACCTCTGAATGTGCGGGCCCCATCATGCTTCACAGCACTGCTCATGCCACCCAGCACGGCCTGCTGCACTCAGCTCTATCGAGGGCCCCTCCCAAACGAGCTGCTGAAGAAGGTCCTCCACATAGCACTGCAGGAAGCTGACAGGGACTGTTACCTCCAGGCCTTTGTGTGAGCTCTGACCCCTGATTCTGCTCTCAGTCCCAACTCCAGCTCCAACCCCTATTTCTGACACTGACAGCTTTTCATCTGGCCTGTACCCTGACCCCATCCTCAAACCTTGACCGGGCCTTTCCCTTCCCAGGCTGCACTTGGCTCACCGAAGCATCTGTGTCCACCCTCAGAACCGCAGCCTAGCACGGTGGTTGGAGCACCAAGGGAGGAAGCGCTAGGGGACTCTGCCCAATGTGAACTTGGAGCTCCTGAGGGAAATGAACCAAGGGCCACAAGCACCAAAACAATAAAGCAACAGTGAACAATGGGCTCGCTCGTGGTTCTCCCAGTTCTATGTAGTGCGGTGCGCCTTGAATCTGGAGCTGGGAAACTTAACAACAAACAGAACTCCTTTATTCGCACCTCCACACCCCATTGGGGGCAAGGCCAAGGGTCTAGGACCCACACACACTCCTCAGGCACTACATACATACATGCAGAAAACACATATTCCCTGCTTCTCATACACGTGGTCACACATGGGCAGACATGCACACGGACACACATGTCCTCAGATTGGACCTCCAGCTTCAGGATGGAATCAGGTCCAGACATCCACCAACTGGCAAGTTCGGAATCCAGGGTCTCACAGAGAACTTCCAGCTCCCACTCCCAGCGCACAGCGGGGATGGACTGTCCTGCCTGGGATTCTACTGTCCGTCCGTCCATCTGCACCAGTACAGTTACAGGCGGAAGCAACTGATGCCCACCAGGTCCTCTACAGGTCTGAGGCTCCTGGAAGACACAGGAGATACATCGGGGGAGGGACTAGGACCAGCTGTTGGCCCAGACACCCTGAGGGAAGGGACCTAACTCGGATCCAAGACACCAGAGAATCAGGATGACTATCCAGGGGAGGGGAATCCAATATGAACCTCAATATCCTGAGCGGGACCCGAGCCCAGGAAGCCAGGGGTGAAAAGCCCCAGGTAGCACCAGGAGGACAAGGAGGCCCAACTCTGATATCTGGCACCCTGAGAAGGTTAGGCCAGCCAGCTCCTGGGCCATGCCTGCTCACAATGGGGTCACCGGTCTCCAAGCCCAAACCCGCTGCAGGTCTTACTCACTTGTAAGCTTGTCCACCGGACTGATCAAGCCCAAGAATCCACGCTTTGGGGCTCCATCCTTCCGGCCCAGTCTCAGCCTCAGCCTGGAGCATAAAAAGGTAGCTTATCTCTCTGCCCATGTGGGCATCTCGCTGGTCTCCAAAGGGTTTGTTCGTTAAAGGTTAGGAGAGGCATTGGGAGAATCACACACTTGGGGCGGAGCAGTGGCTCCAAGATCGGACAAGGTTCACTGGGAAACCAGTGGGAAGGCCTGAATGGGGGTGGCCTATAGGCAGCAGGTCATCTTTGGGAATCTGAGGCTGAGAGGCCAAAGGTAAACACTTACCAGAGCCCCAGGATTAGGGCCCCAGCCACCAGTCCCAGGAAAGAGAGAAGTCCCAGGGACAGCAGCACGGCCACCTGCTCCACCGGGATGCTGTGGTCTAAGGGGAGTAAATCCCATGGGCAACCGTGAGATCAAGCTGCCCAAACTCGGTGTCCCCTTCTCTCTGGGCCTTCCCTTTGCCCGTCTGCCAAGCTCACCAAGAGGCTGCTGGTCCAGGTGGTGGGAAGGACATGGGGAAGTGAGGCTGTCCACCTGTGATGACTGGTCCTCTGCTGATGGCTGGCCTGCAGTCAGTATCTCCTTTGAGAAATGCCCTAAAGACAGGGCAGATTTGAGGACCGGCCACATTCGAAGCAGGGGTGGGGGCCAGGTCCTGCTGGCTGAGACTGAGACCTGAATTGGACATTGGGGCACTTCGGGCCGGGGCGGGGCAGAGCAGGAGGCTTACATCAGGATGGGGCTGTCACTGTGCTTACAGGGGTGGGACGTGGCCCACAGTCCTACTCACCTGAAGCAGGGGGCCTACTGCTAGATGCTGTGGGAGAGATCCTCTGTCCTGGCTCTAGGCTCAATTGCTCAGCGGTGCTTGGCATCCCCCAGACCTCAGGACTCCAGGCACTCCACGTGCCAGCATCCAGAAAGTCCCGAGAACTGACCCTCACGACGTGAGGCAGCCCAGGCACGGCGTCCGTGATCACCTCTTCCAGCCCGACCACCTCCACCTGAGCGTGAAGATGGCCATGGGCCCATTATCTAGGTTGTAAACACAAAGTCTACCAGCCCCCCAACCCCAGTCTGTAAGGAGCTCCCCTTCCTCCCTGAGCTCTCCTGTGAGCTGATCTGGGCCTGACGTGGGGTGGCTGGGGGAGTCAGGCCTACAGCTGTCCTATAGTGGCCCCACAGGCTGTGGCCTCAGACTGCCTGGGTTCAATTCTTCCCTGTACTGCTTCCCGAGTGACCTTGGGCTTCTCTGCACCTCAGTTTCTTTGAAAATAGGAATGAATTCCTGGCAGGCAGATTATTATCTGAGGCAGCCACTCCCCATGCCCATTACCAGCCAATGGTTTCCAGAGGTAGGGCGCTACTACCGGCCTCAGCTGGGCACGGGAGTGTTGACTTCACAAGGTACTTTAGGGTGAAAGGCACACGCCTTCATCTTCCTAGAAAGGTTTTTTGGGTTTATTTTTTAAGCCACTGCTATGGGTTAAGATAGGAGTTCTGCCAGGGGACAAACAACAGAAATGGGGGTAAAGGGAGACAGCAGATGGTGTAAAATATGAAAATAAAAATAATTTTTAAATTATCAAGGGTTCACAAGGGTGGGAGAGGGAGGGGGAAAATGAAGAGCTGATACCAAGGGCTCAAGTAGAGAGAAAAATGTTTTGGAAATGATGATGGCAACATATGTACAAATGTGCTTGATACAATTGATGTATGAATTGTTATAAGAGCTATAAGAGCCCCCAATAAAATGACTTGTTAAAAAGTAAATAAAATAAGTAGGTAGCAATAAAATAAGAATGTAAAAAAATAGAGGAAATGGAAGTACAATGTTTAAAGAGGCTTACGCTCTGTGTGAAGTAAGCATAAAATTATTTTAAAGTAGGCTGTAATAAGTTAAAAGTATGTACTGTAAGCCTGTCAGTAATCACTAAAAATACTCCAAAAGAAACTCAAGGACAAATCGTGTAAGTTGGTTCCTTACAAACATGTAAGTTGATTTCCTAAGAAATCTCTTAATATATAGGTCTCTCACTGGCTCCAGATCTCTGGTTGAACTCTGAGGGAACAGAACATAACCAACATGCCAAATTAGAAAAGAAGAGGGAAGTAGACTTGTGTGCTTTTAAGTTGGTTCTGCAGTGGTGTGGACACTATCTTGTCATGGAATCATACAGCAAAGGATTATGTTTGTTAAGCAGCTACACCATAGCTCGGTTGAGAGAATTCCATATACACTGACCTTGGCAAACTAAGCATTCCCAGAAAAGCAATGATAAGAAAAATTGGGACATTTTAAATGTAATATCTCATGATAGCGGAAGTCCTTCCCAAAGATAAAATGAAGTTATGAAGAAAGGATGCTTCCAAGTGGATCTTTTGTTAGCTGGGAAAGGAAAGTTGTTTACCAATGGGGAGCTAATTAAAACATTTTTGCTGCAGTAAAAGAAATATATCCAGAGAAAATAAACTTGTTTAATGCTATTAGCCTTTTCCGTAAGAATGATTGCTTGCAAATCTGCAGACACTGGGAACATAATTAATGGCCACTTAAATAAACAAGGAAAACAATTCCATCAGCCACACCTTGGGAGAAAGACAGGGCTTCCTCCTCTAAAGAGTTACAGTCTCAGGAACTCGATTGAGAGAATTCCGTATACACCGGGGCAGTTCTGCCCTGTCCTACATGGGGGCTCTGAGTTGGCATCTACTCGATGGCAGTGAGCTTGGTTTCTGGGAGGTTCACATGGAGGTGCAGTTCTACTCTGTCTTCTAGGGTCACTATGAGTCTGAATCTCCTCAATGGCATTGGAGCGGGGC